TACCCTGACAGCAGCCCATGGCAGGGTCAGGGCAGCTTCTGGTACCCTTCTGGTGGGCTGGGCAGAGCTGTTGTCATGGTGTAGACATTGTCACACTGTGGGCACTGTCACAGTCTGGACATTGTCACAGTGTGGACGTTGTCACAGTATGGCCCAGTGCCTCCCAGGTGATCTGCTCAGGGCAAGGGTGAGGGTATGGAAGCCAAATCCAGGTGTAGCAGATTATCACAGAGTCATCCCAGCATCACAGAATGGTTTGGGTTGGGAGGGACCTTAAAGACCATCTCCTTCCAACCCCTGCCATGGGCAGGGACACCTTCCACTAGCCCAGGTTGCTCCGAGCCCTGTCCAGCCTGGCCTTGGACACTTGCAGGGATGGGGCAGCACAGCCTCCCACTCTGGGGGATACAGGCTGGTGTTCAGTGGCAGAGGAGCTTCTGGTGATGTGTAGGACCAAACCTCCTGCTGTGTCACCTGCTGGTACATCCCATGGCCGGTGCTGAGCAGGGAGGGAGGGCGGGTCTGTGGTGCTGCCCCAACCTGTCTGTGGCTGTGTCTGCCTGGCCCAGTTCTCCCTGCTGTCCGAGGTGCGGGGGGTGATCTCCCCTCAAGACCTCGACCGCTTCGACAACCTGGTGCTGAAGAGGGAGATCGAGTCCATGAAGGCCCGTCAGCCCTCGGGGCCCGGCCCCGCCACCGACTCCTACTCCATGATGTCCTACAGCGACACCGTGTCCTCCTCCAGCAGCCACTTCACTGCCACCACCGTCAGCTCGGCCCGGGTGAGTCCCCCGGGGTGATCCTTTCCCTCAGCACCTGCTCCTGAACCTGAGCCTCACCACAAACTCCTCTCCTGGAGCGCTGTAAAGGCCTTTTACCCCACCTTTCACCCCACCCCGTTCAATCCCCCCTGGGTTCCCCCAAAGCTTTTATTTTTGGGGGGATTTTTAGGTGGAATAAAGTGATGCCACGACATGTGCTGGGTGTCTCTGCGCTCCTGTGCCCCCCGGGAGGGCTGTGGTGCTGCATGTCACTTTGTCCCCAGTGAGGACCAAGCCAATCTCCCTTCCAGGATCTCTGGCAGAGCCGTGCATTTGAAGGACAAACATGGGTTTAAGTGTATGGCCAAATGGCTCATTTAAATGAAAAAATGAGCCATTTTTTCTAAAAGCTCTTCTAGACTCCTCTAGGCAGTTAAAGCAAGTCTCTTAGCCAAACTTGTAATTCAGCTTTGGAATTCAGTCTTTACTGCCTTTTAGTTATTTATATTTTAAAAAAGCACGGCACTAAATGTATTTTCAATTAAAACTATCACAGTGCACGCACAAATACGTAGGATAAAATATTATGTGGAGCAGCAGAATGCAGGTTTCATGATGCATAAAAATCACAAATAAGTTGAACTTCCCGACCCTCATCTAAGTAATTCCAAAATTTCATCCCCAGACAAAGCAGGAAGGCCATTTTGGGTTTTAAGCCCAACGAACTAAAAAAAAAAGACGCTTTGTCTTTAAAACGTTATTTTGTAGACAGAGAGCTGCATCCACACAGAAATCCCAGCAATGTGCTGCTGCCACACTGTGCCTGCTGCTGTTCACCAGCTTTTAAATCAGCTCCTTAAAGACCCTGGCTGCCTGCTCCCACTGCATCCCATGCCAGCCCCTGCCCGCTCTCCAGCGCTCACTCCCACGGCTCTGCCCGGCTGTCATGGCACGGCACCGTCTAATTAAGTTGGTGTAATCACCTCAGAGTGTGCAGGCACACAGCCCCCAAATTAATTTCCTTAGCCATAAAATGCCTTTCATCATAAATGCATTAGTAACCTTGGAAATTAAGCCCTTCCTGAGCAGAGCAGGGGACAATGGGATGTGTGCCGGTCCCGCAGCAAGGGAAGCGCCCGCGGCTGGAGCGCTGGGACCGGGATGTGGAGGGTCCAGGCACCACAGCTGGGGGGGAGAGAGAGGAGGGGGTTTTCCTGGGGCTCTGCCTGCCTACATGGGGTGGTGCAGCATCCCAGGAGAGCGTCAGAGCAGCAGAGCTGTGCTTTTGCCCCGTTAACTCCACAAATACCCGTAGGGAAGCCACCTGCTCTGGTCAGGGTGGATCCTGCTGAGATCCTTTCTGGATCGGGAGAAACAAAGCCAGTTTTGCTCTGCTTTCCCGAGGACCTGCTGGGAAAATTCTTCTGAAGTCTCTGGGGGCTGGCACAGGTCTGCCAGGGCCGTGTGCTGGGTGTGACACCCTGCTCTCGTGCTGTCCCCGTGCCTGGGGCTGTACCGTGGGCTTCAGGTGTGCCATGCTCTGCCTCCACAGCATGTGCCCAGCGTGGCTGCTCAGGCTGGTGTGTGAGCAATGATGAGCCCAGAGCTCGGGGAGGGAGACCAGGGTGCTGTTCTGCCATAGAGGGAGTGGGCTGTGCCTTAAAAGCACTGTTTGAAGAGCTTCCTCCAAGAACACGCGTCCCTCGATGACATTACTGGTCTCCCCTGGCCCTGTGGCACCCCTTTCCATGGGTGTGAGAACACACCTGCCTCCAAGCTCTGCCTGGGTGTTGGGAATGCTGGCGCTGGGATGGTTATCCCCACTGTTTGCTAAAACAGCTGCCAAGCTGAAAGCACCAGCTCGTGGTGGACTGTCTCAGCTAACAGGAGAGAGAGAAGAGGGGCAGAGCTCCTAAACTGTTCCCTCTGCCCTGTTCTGCCCTCAATCGCGATGCCATTCCCCTCCCCAGCCCCTCTCGCAGGAGGGACTCACCTCAGCCGTCACATCCAGCCCTGGATGCGGCTGGATGTGGATTTGGGGTGTGTTTGGGGGAGGAGGGAGGCGCTGTGCCGGGGTTTGCTCGTCTGGCTCCTTTGCTCCGCATCCTCCCTGATGTCACGTTCTCGCTTTTGTGCTTGTTTCCCTCTGCTCTCCCCCCGGCACGTCCCCAGGAGCGGCTCCTGTGGCTCATAGACCTGATGGAGGTAGGGGAGGAGGGCGAGTGCTGCTGTTGCCATAGTGGATGGGCTGGGGGGGTGAGTTGTGCCGGGGGAAGGCGGGGACGGGCTGTCCAGGGACTGACATGCGGCTCCTCCACGTGCTCAGCCGCCTCGTTTCACCCATCCCTGCCTGTCCTCTCTGCTGAGCAGAGCCCCTTTCCCCAGCCTGCAGTGCACACGAGGCTCAGCCTTGAGCCAGACCCAGCTGGTGCCAGCTCCTGCCTGCACTGAGTGCCACAGACCCCTCAGGGGTGGGGTTTTGGGAGGACCAGCAGCGTTGGTGGACCCCAGAGTGCTCTTCCTGCTCTGTGTGCTGCTGTGCTGACTTGCTGTGTGGGCATGATGGCTAAATACCTGTAGACTCATAAAAATCACAGAATGGTTTGTGCTGAAGGGACTTTTAAAGCCTATCTAGTTCAACCCCCCTACCATGGGCAGGGACAACTCCCACCAGCCCAGGTTGCTCCAAGCCCCGTCCAACCTGGCCTTGGACACTTGCAGGGATCCAGGGGCAGCCACAGCTTCTCGGGGCAACCTGTGCCAGGGCCTCCCCACTGTTGTTATAAAAAACTTCTTCCTTCTATCTAATCTAAATTGACCCTGTTTTAGTTTACAACCATCACCCCACGTCCTGTCACAGCGAGCCCCGTTAAACAAACCTGTCCCCATCTTTCTTCAAGTAGTGAAATGTCACCACAAGGTCTCCCCAGATCCTTCTTTTCCCCAGGCTGAGCAAGCTCAGCTCTCTCAGCCTCTGAGCACCCTATCATACATCCTTAGGATGGGGGAAATTTTTCCCTACAGGCCTTGGATCTGCAAAAATCCACGCTGCAGTGCAGGAGGATCGGTGTGTGTGTGTCGTGTGTGTCCAGCCTTGGAGAAATCCTCACTGAGGATTTTGAGAGGATGGACATGGATGTGGGAAGAGCCTGAGGAGCCCCTCTGTCATGTCAGAGCTCTTGGCTGGGATGAGGCTGAGGAAAGCTGCAGGTTCCATGGTGTGGAGCACATTCCCTGCTCCTTGGCTGTGAGGAAATCACAGGGTCAGCGGGTCGGGCAAGTGGTGGAGCAGGGACTGCTCAGGAGGCAGGACCTCTGGCAGCTGTGAACCTGACCCAAAACCCACATCCCTCTGGGAATGGCTCTTATCCAGCAGAGAACAGCTGTAGCATTCCCAGATGGAGTTTGTCACAGGCACCTTGAACCGTGGGACCCAGATTTCTTTGGCTTCCTGACACTAGAGCAGGCCCCCTGTCCCACCATGGGCTTGACCAAAAATAACCAGGCTGAGCAGGCCCTGCCTTGGGAAAATGATTCCATTACAGGGTGTATCCTTCAGGATACCTGGAAATGAGACAAGGCCACGTTGTGCAAATGCCACCCCCGGGTGCTCTGTGTCTGCTGCCTGACTGTCACCAGCACCTCCTGTAAGTCCTGGGTCTCAGGATGAGTCCTGCAGGGCAGAGCTTGGTTGGAGACTGCAATAATCAGGTCTGACCAGAGCAGTGGGAATTCCTGATCGCTTCCAAGCACAACAGTCTGGCATTCCCTTTGGCCCTGCCCAGCCCTCAGTGTTGGGATGAAGGAATTGAAATCCCCGTTGGTTTTGGTTTGGTTCTCCATCACCTCCTGGCAAAGCTGCTGCCATCCAAAGGTGCCTTCTCCTCCCAGGGTCTGGTTCCACAGGCACTGGTTTGCTCCCAGCTCCCTGGGATATTCCACAAGGAGGGTTCCCATGGGAACAGTCCTCTCAGAGAATGAGGATGGAGACAGTGAAGCCACTACATGTGGGTCATTGTCACCCTTTGAGCCCCTGAAGTCTGGACCAGGGACTTGGGGCTCCTCCAGCCCTGCAGCTGCATTCCAGAGTGGGACAGGGAGGAGAAGAGAGAGGGGAAGAGAGAAGGAAAACTGGGCTTGTTCTCAGGCTGGTGCAGTTGTTGAAAATCGAGACCCTGTGGGACTCAGGCTGAGTGGCTCTGCACAGCTCTCGTTAGCAGTAACTGGAAATTAAGGGACTGATTTGGAGCTGGGAGGTTAATTAAAGGTTGAGTTGTGTTCCCCGGGGAGGTGGCAGTTTCTCCACCCTTTAATCTGCAATTGAAAGCTGTCTGCCTGCCTGACAGATGCTCTCCAGCTCCATCACTCCTACCATTCTCTCTGAGCAGGATAGGAAGGACAGACATTTCCCAGCTCCTCTGTGAAGGAAGGGCCTCACCTGGCCCCCAGTTTCTACAGGGAACTGGAAAACAGATGGGGTAAAGGAGCAGGGAGTGGGCAGGAGGGAGCAGCCTCCTCAATAACGACTCATTTCTCAGGGCAGTGGCAGGTGGTGAGTCTTTCAAGTGAAATCCAGGGAAGCACAGCCCCAAAACCAGCCCATTCCTGAAAGCAAATGTGCTGGGCTTAAAAGCCATCGAGTTTTACAGCCCAGAGCAATCCTTGTTTAATTGCTTTTGCTCCAAAAGAACTAAGCTGGGGGAAAACCAAATCTCCTGCTCACACACTGCACCAGGAAAAGGTGCCCTGAGGAGGATGAGCAGCATCAGTGTCCCTGGCTGGGGGGCAGCAGAGCTGGCAGTGGGATCAGGGGGTGGAGGGCAATGTCTGTGCCATCCCAACGTGTGCCACAGGAGTCACATCTCGGTGCACAGACTGTCCTTTCTACAAGGCCAGGGCTGGGACATGGCATGGGATGGGCTTGATGGGCACGGGGTTCAGTGGCAGGACTGGGGGAGGTGGCCCTGGCAGGTTTAGGGGGGCATCAGACAGACTCTTCTTGTTTTAGTGGCGACATAACTGTGACTGTTTGACAACAGGCTGCTCCCAGTCACACTGCCCAGAGAACCTGGGGCTGCCCCAGCCTTGGGAGTGTCCAAGGCCAGGTTGGAGCAACCTGTTCTAGTGGAAGGTGTCCCTGCCCATGGCCAGAGGGTGGAATGAGATGATCTTTAAGGTCCTTTCTAACCCAAACCAGTCTGGGATTCTCTGCTTCTCTCTCAAAAGCCACATGCCCTTATGTTGGATTAATTGATGATGAAACCAACCTTTGCCAGAGGCAGGAGTAGTTTCCCAAGTGAAGATTTACCTGTCACTCCCTGAACGAGCCGTTTCTCTTTGTTCCCATTCTCCAGGGCTCTTTCAGAAGCCACGGAGATAAAAGCACTTTGCATCAATGTTTTTGCCTCTTCTCTAATGCTCTTAATTGTCTCCCGTGTCTATTTTGGGACTCCAGCATCTTACAGGCACAGCAGCAGCCTCCAGCAGCTGGGGGAAATGCAGATGCACCAGCATTTCAACTAATCAGCTGTTTACCCTGCAATAAATAACAGGCACTTAAACACAAACTGTGCCCTGCCCAATCCAGCAGGAGAGAACAAACATCCCTGTGAACGTGACAGGAGCCAAGTTCTCCCTTCCTGAGCAGCAGCAGCAGCTCCTCTCCAGAGCAGGAGTTGCTGTGGGAGGGGGGATGAGTCTGGGTTTGCCCTTCCAGGAGCAGCAGGATGCTCTCCCCTGGCAGAGCATCCCAGAGCTCACCAGGGAAAAGCTGCACCCCCTCTGTGCCCCCTGTTCTGCCATCCCTGGGACTTGGCCAGGTGCCTGTCTGCTCTGCTTGGCTGTATCCATGTCCTCTCTCCTCGAGTCCCTGCTGACCCACAGCTGCCCCTGCACAGACAGACTGACAGATTCCCAGAGCCCTTCCGGATATCTGGAGCTGGGATGTGTTCAAAACTGGGGTGTGACATTTCCTGATGACATTTTGACTCGTAGAGGGAAAGCAGCTTTGGTTTGCAGGAGACCCACTGTTCTGGCTTGCAAAGGGAAGGGAGTTTTGAACTTTTCTATTGCCCTTCTCCTGAGAAGGATCCAGATATTGAGCCTGAGCTCCTTCCAAATGAAGCAGGAGGAGCTGATTTGGGTCCAGAGGAGCTTATTCCTCCTCTGCAGGAGGTCAGGTCCACAGCAGGCTTTGAGAACACTTCTTAGCTTGGGAGAGCCTGTGTCCCACAAAGCTGCTTTGACAGGATATGTGAGTCTCTAGGGAACCTCCAAGGAGACAAAAACCTTTGGGTGACAGACTGGCCTTGCAGGGGGAGGGGGTTTGGGGGATCACTCCATGTTCTCTGTCACACTGGCACTGTGGTGGTTGCTCTTGCTGCTCTGACATAATTTTCTCTGCCTTCTTTGCCCTCTCAGAACACGTCAGAGCTGGAGGGAGCTGGGGACTGCCACCAAAGCAGCATCAACACCCTGCCAGATGTGTCCCTGGTAAGGCCCTGCAGGAGCTGCTGCACCTCGGATGGGAGCTGGAGGAAAACTGGGGGTACTGAGTTTTGCCTCAGCTTCAGTAGCTCTGCTACATCAACACCCCAGGGATGTCAGAGAAGCCAGTTAATCCAGTTGGGTAGGAGAAGGATCCTGGCTGGCTGAGCAGGAGCAGCATTGTGGGAGCCAAAGCAGAGACTGAGTGATTTGTCCTCTAATATCCTCATTTGTGAATCATATTCTTATTGTCAGAAGATCAGAAAGGTGCTTCTGTGACAACCAGCCAGGGTCACTGGGAAAAGATAAAGACACGGGTGACACTGAGCCTGAGGAAGCCCTGGAGAAGTTCTCCCAGCTGAGCACGGTGTCCTAAAACCTCCTGTTCTTGGTTTGGCAGGATGACATCTCCTCCTTCCCAGACGAACCACCCAACTTCAAGCCTCCTCCTCCTCCTGCAGCCCCTCAGCTGCTGGACCCCTCAGCTGCCCAGCACAGGAACCCGGGGAAGGACAAGCCCAAGCGTCCCTCCTCTGAGTCCTCCCAGTCAGGCCTTTTCTTCGTGGCCCCCCGGAACCCCACGCCCCCTCCCAGCGCCCCCGAGAAGGACACGCTCAGCGTCAGCTCCACCGCCACCACCTCCACCGAGGATTCCTCCCCCAGCGCCATCTACGCCACCATCTCCCCGTCCCTGCACGGCTCCCGCAGGCAGATGGATGCCCAGCTCTCCCTGGTCACCCAGCACCCCATCGGGCCCTTCCCCAGGGTCCAGTCCCCCACCAGGTTGAAGAGCCCGTCCCCGGAGGCTGGAGGGGTGCAGAGCCCCCCGTCCCTGTCCCCT